GGGGGGGGGGGGCTCCTGCACAGCAGGTCTGAGGTCTGTTCTTAGCCTCTGCTGCTGGGGGTGGAACTGGAAGTGAGGTGGAAGGAGAATGGGAGTGTCACCTCAGGGCCCTGCGAGGTTCCAGAGTGGGCTGAGGCTTGACAGCACCCTGGGGCGGGCTCCACTCACACCATTAGTTCCAGATCAGCTGGTACAGGCTGTCCTTGCCCCCAGGGGGCCACAGGCTGGCGGGTCCTGTGTGGTTCTGTTCCTGAGGGGCCAGGGTTCCTGCACCAGACCCTGGAGGCAGAGCCCTTTCGCCTGTGGAGACACAGGACCTCCCCACTAGGGCCTTGTAGGGAAAGTGCGGACAGGTGTCTTACTTATAGCTTGGTAAGGTGACCCTCTGTCCCTGTGCCAGGGTCCCCCTCCACTCCCTCACCTCACCTTACTCCACCCTGGCCTCTGCCCAGCGCCGGGCTCTGGAGTGCCTGGCATGGTCCCAGAGACTCCTCTTTGGATTTCATTGCAGAGCTTCATTCTGCTGCTCAAATTGGACAGGGCCTCCTCCAAGAAACCCTTTGGAAAGGGAGCAGGATCACTCTCCTAGTGCAGCTGGGAAAACAGACCCCAAACTGGGGATAGATGACTTGCCAGCCAGGAGCTGCTGGGAGATTTTCTAGTCCCAGCTCTGGGCTGGGCAGCTTCCTGGATTGCATGGGCTCAAGCAGGCCGGCAGCCTGGGAACAAAGCCACAGTTGGGCTCTCCCAGAGAAACCTCTAGGGGCCATTCTGGGCCACCGGCTATCCCCTTTGGCTCATTCCTAGAGGTATCCATGAGGGTAGGTTTTCCTATCCACCTTGCTTCCAGAGCTGATGGAAGAGGGGCACAGGTGTCATACAGATGGGCCCCATTTTAAGCCACTCAAATGACAAAATATTATCAATTAGGGAGTGATCATCCCACTACCAAGTCGTCTTGTAAACCGAAGAATTCTCCTCTTAACAAGCACGACTCCTTGTGTATACTACTCATGTTTCTGTGTGTTTTTTACAGGATTGGGTGTATATGAGATTCAGAAAATCTTTAAAAGCTTACTATCCATTCTGATTTTGCTTAGAGGTGTATTTTTAATTTTATTTTTAAATTACATTTGACATACCATATTATATTAGTTTGAGGTGTACAACATAGTGATTAGGCATTTACATACCTTGTCGAGTGATCATCCCGATAAGTCTAGTATCCATCTGGCACCATACACAGTTATGGCAACAGTCTTGACTATATTCCCTGTGCTGTATTTTGCAGCCTGTGACTATTTTTGTAACTGACAATTTGTACTTCTTAATCCTTTCACCTTTTTCACCCAGTCTCCCCAGCCTCCCTCCCATCTGGCAATCATCAGTTTGTTCTCTGTATCTATGAGTTTGTTTTGTTGGCTTGTTTTTTTTAGGTTCCACATATAAGTGAAATCACATAATATTTGTCTTTCTCTGTCTGACTTGTTTCACTTAGCATCGTATCCTCTAGGTCCATCCATGTTGTCACAAATGGCAAGATTTCATTCTTTTTTATGACTGAGTAACATTCCATTGTGTATATGTAGCACAACTTTTTATCCACTTGTCTATTGATGGGCACTTGGGTTGCTGCAGTCAATGTAGGGTTGCATATATCTTTTCAAATTAGAGTTTTAAATTTCTTCCAGGGGTGGAATTGCTGGGTCATATGGCAGTTCTATTTCTAATTTTCTGAGGAACCTCCAAGCTGTTTTCCGTAGTGGCTGCACCAATTTACAATCCCACCAGCAGTGCATGAGGCTTCCCTTTTCCCTGCATCCTCACCAATACTTGTTTGTTGATTTGTTGATGGTAGCCCTTCTGACAGGCACGAAGCAATCTGCTTAGAGATTTAATTATAAATCTATCAAGGTGGTTTTGTTTTTGTTCTTGTTTTCTAAGTATTTTGATTTATAAAAGCTCCCTTACCTGGACCTTTTTTCGGAACACTTGCAGCGCACAGGACAGGAAGGGGAATGAGTACAATTCTAAATGGCAGGTTGGTGTGCCAAGCTCTGTGAAAAGGGCAGAGATACACATCCACCTGGGCCATCTCTTCCTCACTTGTTTGCACCTCCCTGAGGGCTCCTTACTGGACAGTGGGCTCTGAACCATGAAAAGGGAAACCTACTCACAGAAAAGAAAAGTGATGATGGTAACAATACTAACTTTACTGAGCATTTACCCAATGCCAGACACTGTTCTTAGTACCTCACTTGTATCAACTCATTTAATCTTTACAACCACCCTGAAGAATATACTATTATTATTATTATTTGCAGAAGGAAGCTGAGGCACAGAGAGATTAAGAGACTTGCCCCAGGGCCTTAGGATTTGAACCCAGGCATTTGTGTCTAGGACCAGATACTTTGAAATGCCTCTTGCTCTAGGAGTAGGTCAGTTTCAACTCTGCAGGGTACAAGTTATACCCTTTACTCCAGGCACAAGCATGGGCTGTCTCTCCCTGAGCTGACACTCCTGGGAAGGAAACTGTGGGCCTCTGGGGCTTCCTGCTGGGATCAGAGGCATGGGGGTAGGGCAGAGTGGGGGAGTAGGTCCTGTCAGTGTTTCAGGTTTAAATTCTGAACCTTAGTCCTTCCATCTCCAAGACAAAATGTTGCAGAGAACCCTTTCCTTTGGTTAAGAGCAAAGCATTTCAGTGGAAATGAGGGGATATCACAGGGGTGGTCTGTATGTAATGGGAGTCACCACCTAGCTAGGGCTGATTAGCTCATCATGATTCCCCATTCCACCCCCCAAACAGACAGAAACTCCACCTTCCCTGAAACCAGCCTCTAAAGCTTGATTCCTTGGGGCCTCTCCACCTCTCAGTTAAAATGCTAATACCCTGCAAGTGCTTTTCAGCTTAAGTGATTACTGGCTTCTGCACCGGGCTAGTGCTTGTCAGTGGGGGATTGGCTGAAGATTGGCAAGGGCCAGCTGTTGGGGGGCAGGGGTGGTGAGTGCAGAGCCTTGGAGAGAGGAGACTCCGGGCAGCTCTTCTTTCTCTAGGATTCCTGCTTAGTTCTGCTTACTGCTTGCCCCAGACTGAGGGCCAAGGCTGAATAGTTCTTGGTGCCTCCATAAGGACATGCACTGGAGGGACTGGGTGGGGAAAGCCTTGGATGTTAGAATGGGTGCCAGGAAGGACAGGAGCCCTGTGCTCAGGGCAGGATCAGGGTGGGCGCTGCTCTCTCGCTCTCTTCCCCTCCCTCCCCCTCTCCCTCTCTCTTCTTCCCTTTCTCTCCCTCACTCACTCTCCCCCACCCCCTCTCCTGGCATAGAGAGATGTTGAAGGAGGCCACCATATGCCAGCCAACAGGGAGAAGGGTGCAATTAGGGCCAAAAGAATCAGGACGAGACCTTCCTTAGGAAAGCAGGAAACAGTTCAAATAAAACACAGCCACCTGGCTGGCAGGGTGTATAGGTATGTGCTTTGTCAGACAGGAAAGAGGAGGAGGGTATTTAGGCAGAAGTTGGGCGTTTCTTTCCTGGTTTCTTGGGGACTTGTCTAACCACCCTGGGCAGTTTGGGAGACCCCTTTATCTCAAAGGCATCAGGGTGAATAGGTGGCTTTCAGAGCTTCCCCAATCCTCTCCCAGCCTCCCCTTGGCCTCTCCCCTGCATATACCTCATAACTGAAGGCTTATTGGGTTCTTCTCCTCTTTGCCCTGTTCACTGTCTCCTTCTCTACCTTTCTATTTTTCTCAAATTCCTGCAAGTCCTGCCCTGCCCTGCCCAAGACCCAGCTCCAGCTCCCTCCTGCCCCTTGCATGAAACCCAGTCTTCTGTGCATGTTTCCCCAGCCACTCTCAGACCTGCTGCCCCAAATGCTGGCCCCTGTGGGAACACAATACAAAAGCCAGTTCCTTCCTCTGGTCTGGGCCCTTGGTTGGTCTCCCATCTAGAAAGCCAGTGTGTCTTTGGCCAGCAGCTTGTTCACCTTTCAGTAGGCAACAAGCCGGGGCCGAAGGCCTACCAGGGGTCTGCCCCAGGCATGCTTCTTGCTTTAAAAATCTATCCCATCGTGGAGTTACCATGGCCCAGCAGTTCCACTCCTAGGTGTGTGCCTCAAAGAATTGAAAACGTATGTCCACAAAAAACCTGTACGTGCATATTCAGAGCAGCACTATTCATAATGGCCACCAAGCGGAAACAAACCAAATGTCCACCAACGAAATGTGGCGCATCTATACAGTGGACTCTCGTTTAGCCATAAACAGGAATGAAGCACTGACATGTGCTACTACATGGAGGGACCTTGACAACATACAAAATGTGACATACTCTATGATTTCATTTATATGAAAGTCCAGAATAGGGAAATCTGTAGATACAGAAAGTAGATTCGTCATTGCCTGGGGCCAGGGCTGGGGTATGGAGAGGACTGGGGAGTGACTGCCAATGGGTACCGTTTCCCTTCTGGGGTGAAGGGAATGCTCTAAACTTAGATTGTGGTCATGGGTTTCCAACTCTGAACATACTAAGAACCATTGAATTGTACACTTTGAATAGCTGAATTTTATGGTATGTAAATTATATATCAATTCTTTAAATTAAGAAAATATCAAGACTTATCCCACCCCCCTTAATTCACTCATTCAACAAGTATCTCTTGAGGCAGGCCCTGTTTTGGGGGTGAACACGACAGACAAGCTTCCTGCTCTCCTGGAGCTTACATTCTGGAAGGCAGTCCTAGAGAAACGCAGGAAATAAGGCAGGGTAAGGAGAGGAGCAGCATCAGGGGAGAGTAACAGAGGTGGTCAGGGAAGGCCTCTGTGAGGAGGTGACGTTTGAGCTGATACCTGAATGACAGGAGAGAGCCATGCATGCAAAGAACTGGGGGCGAGGTGTTGTAGGCCTGCAGAACTACAAGTTCAGCCAATGTGTAGGAAGCACTCGTGGGAGCCCAGCACCCCACTGGGCCACTCACATCATCAGGCACATGGTACAGCCCACATCTGAGTCCGCAGGCAGTCCTGCTTTAGGTTGGGATATCCCCAGGACAGGCTTGGCTATTCCTCCCTCTGGGTACCCCCATCCATAACACAGAGCCCCGAACAAGCTGGGGTGCTGGTGCTGAACTGACCAGGCTAGACGGGAGCCTCTTCTCCCCTGGCCCCTCCCCCATTGCCCTGGCTTGAGCTGCCCTAGCTCCCAGGGGGTGCCTGTCTCCTGGTTTCTTGTCCCAGGTCCCCACTCCTCCCGTAGGAGCTGCCTGCCTTTAGAGGTAGATGGGTGCTGAGGTTGCCTCTAACTCCCCCTCAGTTCTGCACTCTGCCCCTCTCCTGGTCTTTCAAAGCAGGAGATCATCCAAGATAGACGGGGATCCCCGAGGCAAAAATGTGAGGAGAATGGCAGTGCACCTCCTGGGGTCACTCATTCAAACCTGGGGTCACTCAGCCTGTGGTGACAAGGGGCTGGGCCTCAGCAGCAATTTCCCCCGCCCCTGGAGAGTGGAAGGCAGGGTAGGCCACTGACACCTTACCTCGTGAGCCCTCCCGTTTCGAAACCCAAGCAGCCCCTTGACTTATGTGCCAGAGCAGTTACCCACAGCAAAGCCAGTTCAAGGTGATGGATCACGTGTGCCCTCTGGGTAAGGCAGAGCACCTGGCTGACAAGGTCAGCAGTGTGCTCAAGGTCACACGGCAGGCTGGCAGGGTTGGCACCTCCAGGAGAGCCACCACCAGGCAGAGGGGGAGGACCTGGCTCCTTGCCCTCCTTCCCTGTTTTCTTTCACCTTCCACGTGGAACTGGTAATGAGTAACTTGGACACTTGTCAAGCTTCCTAAGGAAGGGTTCCCCGGACTGTCAGGCTGTTCCTGGGAGTGGGGCTCTTCCTATAGTTGGCCTGACTTAACCTCTGAACCCAGGACCAGGGGAGGGCAGATCAATGGCACTACACTGGCCTTTGCCTGGATTGCAAGTCAAGAAACTGGATCCCGGCTCAGCATTACTCTGCCCTCCTTCCCTGTCTGGGCCCGGTTCCTGATCTGTAACATGAGGGGCAGGACTCTTAGGTCCTTGTTGTCACTCTAGCTGTTCCTGGACCAGCCTCCCAAGTCACTCCAGAGGGTGCAGCAATAACAGTGGCAGGGCTGGCAGGGTGTGTGTGTGCGTGATTAGGATCCCAGAGCTGGTGCCAGCGTCTGCGCCCCTCCTGTAGAGCATGCTTCTCTGGGCCTGGCAGTGCTCTCTGGGGGAGCCAGCAAGGAGGGGTGAGCATGGGGCAGGGGACTGCAGGTGGCCAGAGGAAGATCCTGGTGAGTGAGCAAAGGAGGACGGGCTGGAACATCGCACTGACTGCACAGCAGCTTCGGGAGGCAGAGCCTGCTGTCCCCATTTGATAGTGGAGGAAACTGAGGCCCAGTGAGCGCCACCCCTTCTCTGGGAAATAGCAAAGGTGGGCCAGACCAATCTTCTAAACGACAAATCCCACCGTGTCCACTCTGCCAAAGCTGCTTTGACATTATTATTTCATAATTTGCAATTATCCATATTCCTGGAAGGAGCCATTGACCAAACCATTAAGTGGCCAAGCCAATTAGTATATTCCAGTCTGGCTCTAGGGTGTATCTGAGACTCCTTTTTCCACGGCCACTACACACCATTCTAAAGAAGTTTGTTCAGGCTGATTTTTGGAATGCCCAAGAAGGGCCCTGCTGAAGCTACTGGGGAGGACAGACAGCCCCGGATCCAAACCCAAGGTTTCCTGAGGTGCAGCTGTCCCCATTTGCTGGGACCAGTTCTCCAGCTCCCTCATGCCCAGGAACCCCAGGCTCAATATGGGCTCAGCCTTCCTCAGCCCCAGCTGGTGGGTGGCAAGATCACACCACTGCCCAGTGGGTGGCAGGAGATGCAGGTCTCTCCCCAGCCTCTCCTTCCTGCCCGTTCTCTATGCCTCCCTTCTACCTGTCACTGGGCCTAGGAACAAGAAAGCCCCTTGTGGGCATTGAGTGTCCTTCTCAAGAGTGACACGGTGAGAGGGTACTGATGGGAGAGAGGAGAGGCCTGGACAGGGCAGCCCACTGGCCACCAGCCCTTCCCCAACCCCTTTCCCATTTCCTGAGCCTCAGGCTGTTCTACTCAGCACCTTCCTGGTATCTCTCTGTCTCTATCTCTCTGTCTCTGATTCTCTGTCTCCCCCACCCAATCCCACATTAGCCTCCTAATGGTCCCCCATTGCTTTCTCAGGCCATCCTGGGTGCAGTGATAAGGCTAACCTTCCTCAAGCACTAGTCCATTTCACTAGCAACATCCAGAACCTTCTCAGGGCCAGGCATGGGGTCCCACAATGATTAGGCTGGAGCAGATGCCTTGGGGGCCTGTGATGAAGCCAGCAGTTATACTATAAAGCATTCGGAGCTCCCATAACACCAGTAGAGGGACCACTGGGGGCTCATGTTCTAGCAACCATAGCTGTTCGCCGTTGCTTCCTGAGACCAGCCTCTGCAGCCTGGCTGGGTCTGTGGCCCGGCACCAGCTTTTTACACGCACATACACACACTCCTCCATGGAAAAGCAGCATGGCATAGAAGACCTGGGTTTAAGTCCAGGCTCTGTCAGCTACTTTCTCGGCCCTTCTCAGCCTCGGTTTATTTGTGGGTCAGCATTTTCGAAGTCTGCCTCACAGCATTGTCATGTGCACAGATGTCTCAGACATTGTAAACAATTGTCATGTAACCCCCACCCCGCCCCGCCCAGCTCCTTCCCATCCCAGGCCCTGTTCCCACAGGACCTGCTACAGGACTGATCACTGACCATTTCATTCAGGTTTTTTAGGGCAGTAGCGTAATGTCAGTTCTTCAGGAGTGTTTGCACTGGGGCATCTGTGCTTTCCCACAAAGCAGTGAGTGAATGGTAGAAATGTCACCCCTGTCGGCTGGCTCAATGTAGGGAACATTTGAAGGAGAGAAGGGACCCTCCTGGTGTCCCTGAAGCCAGGCCAGCCAGGAGGGTGCCTGGCCTATCTGTGTAGGGAAAGGAAGGGGAGAGAGAGCTATTACGAAAGGCCTGCCGTTTTTAGTGCCCCGTAGAGGTGTGGGCATCACCTGTGTGCTGGCCTCACAGAGGAAGGTGAGACACAGCCACCAGGTTGCAGGAAGCAGGAGCTCAGTGAGCAGGGCCGGCTGGCGTGGGCCTGGCAGGGACGGGGCAGGGGCGTTAGGCCATTTTCCTCACAGTGGCCAGGGTGAGCGAGCCCTCCCGCTCCCCTCACACGCTCAGAGCTGGGAACAGGGGTCATGATCAGCAATCTTGCTGGCAGATCAGCCTGGGAACAAGAAAAGAGAAAATATAACGGACACTGCTATCAGCAGAGCCCTCTGATAAAGGATTTAATCAGAGATGGGCAAGATGAGGACCTGAGGGCCCAGGGAGGACAGTGTGCAGGGTTTTCGGGGGCATTTCTCTTTTCTTCAGGGTGCTGGAGATCCAGGCACGTCTTCTTGCCACATGCTCCGCGCCCTCCAAAGTTCAGCAGCTGCAGGGGCTAACTGGGGCTCCCTAACTTTTCATAATTTGAGAAGGTTTCTCCACAGCTTCTTCTGTAGAACCTTCTTACTGCCCATGCACCCTCATTAGCCTTTCAGGCTGGTCCCAGAAAATACAGGCTTCCTTCCTTCCTCTGAGCCTTAGGTGCACCATTCGTCCCCTCGGGGGGGACAGGCCCTCTGCCTGCCTGCAGTGGGCTCCTCCAGCAGATGCCTCTCAGGGGGGATGGCCCCAGAGCCCCCAACCATACATTTGCCAGGCACAGAGCCCAACACCTCTGCCCATAGAGGGGTCACCAGGTCAGCCCGATACCTCGCTGTGGGTTTTGCTCAGGCACTTCAGGCCTGGCACCTGCAGGGGCCTGGCTGTTTTCACCCTCAGTGCAGAGGACACCGCAGCTCAGCTCAAGGACCTGGGGTTCCGGTTCAACTTCCCATCGCACCTCCAGTTTCATGCCTGTGACCCAGTTCCCTTGAAATACTCAAAGCAGAGTCCCCTCTAATTGTTTATAGGTAAACAATATAAATTCCCTTATAAGTAAAACAATAGCAGTTACACTCTGTGAAGGCCCATCGTTTCCCCATCACATACTCTCTGGAGTCCTCACAGAGGACCGGGAGGGGGATTGTTCTTTGACACTTGAACATCTTGCTGGCCACTCATGGCCAATAGGTGACAGAGCTTCGTCCTCAGCTTCTTTCCCACCTGAGGGCGGGGGGACTGTTCCCCATGGGCTCTGGATCTCCCCCACTGACCTCCCCCTCTGACCGCAGCCTGGCCCAGTCACTATGGGTCCTCTTCATGTCTTCTCTGACCATCTCCCTGGTGTTTGCTGTCATCCCCTTCTGCCATGACGTGAAGGTGCTGGCCTCTGTCATGGCACTGGCTGGCCTGGCCATGGGCTGCATCGACACCGTGGCCAACATGCAGCTGGTGAGGATCTACCAGAAGGACTCAGCCATCTTCCTTCAGGTGAGCCACAGCAGGCATGGAGCTGGCTGGTGGGGCAGGACCTGTCCATCTGTCCGGCTCTCACGCCCCCTCTCCCCAGCCTCAGTGTCTTTTCCCCTAGGCCAGGGTGGTGATGCAGGGAGAGCGCCAGGGCCTCGGTACAGTGTGACCAGCTAGGCCAGCGTCTCTGGTTGACAATGACCCTGCCTGCAGGCTGGTCACAGGAACCTAAGTGCTAAGCAGAGAGTTCTTTGTCAGCTGGGAAGTGGTATGACAGTGGCCTTGCTGTTTTCCTCCTGTCTCCTTCCCTCTCTCTGTATTTCTTCTTCCTTCCTGGTCCTCCCAGTTACCCAGGACTCTAGTCCAGCCCTTTCTTTTATTAAGCCCCTGCCCTGTGGTGGATGCTAACATGGGAACAGCCCCCCACTGGGGGTTAAGATTTGGGAAAGGAGGGAGGTGATTGGCCACTGTCATCAGTTATCCCAGGACAAGCAGGTGGCTGAGGAGCTCGCTCTTCCCCTCTCCTGCCTCCCACTCCCTGTTCCCACTTGGGCCAGGCAGGGGCTCCCCAGATAGGGTGCAAGACAGGGGATGGGGTCCGAAGCCTGAGCCATCACTCCCCCTACCCTACCTCTCCTCTGTCCCCAGGTTCTCCATTTCTTTGTGGGCTTTGGGGCTCTGCTGAGCCCCCTCATCGCCGACCCCTTCCTGTCGGATAACTGCTTGCCTGCCAGTAGCACAGCCAACATCACTTCGGGCAGTCACCTCTTCCACGCCTCCAGGCTCCTGGGGCAGCACCGGGCTGAGGCCCAGCCTTGGTCCAACCACACGCTCCCCAGGCTATCCCCGCCAGACAGAGCAAGAACCCGCGTGTCCTACGCCTTCTGGATCATGGCCCTGATCAATGTGAGTGCCACTGGAGCAGGGCTGGGTGAGGGCTAGTAGACAGTCACACGTACCAGTCCATCCCAGCTCCCAGTGAAGATTCTTCTGATTCTGAGAAATGCGCTGGGGCCAAGTGTGCTCTCAGGAAGGCAAGAGGATGGGATTGTTGACCCCCCAGGATTTATCTAAGCACAAAGGGGGTTGTAAAAGATTACCTCCAAGGTCCTTCAGTGTGACATCCTGTGATTGCAATTCTCCAGGGAGATGAAGCAGTGAACAGGTTTGGCACAGTGAAATCAGGGTCAACTTTCAAATCGCCTGAGCCACTGTGGGAAACCCGCCCTTTTCCTCCAAGGTCAGAGGAAGCTAACCCTGAGCCAGAGCGCTGCAGGCCAGGCCAGGCTCTTCTCCCAGTGTTTGATGGTTGGTGGGATTCTCCTGTGTCCTGTGGGTGCCCCGAGATAGACATGATAACCTCCTAGGGACCCTGCCTGCCCAGGCTGCCTTGGAGGGAGCACAGAGAGAGACCGCCTCGCTGTGACTGGGTCAAACACTGAAGCCCCTCTGCGTCCCCGGCTCACATTCTCCCCATCAGCACTGACTCTGGACTCTGGCTGGAAACCTCTGATCTGCAACCCCGGGTGGGTGTTCCCATGTTAGCCTGGGCTGGGGCCAGAAGGAGAGGTGGGGAGACCCCCCACCCCCACCCCTGTCCCTACTCAGGAAGGACTGTCAGGAACACCAGGAGCAGCCCTGGCCTCCTGACTTGGGCCCAGCATGGGCTGGGAGTGGGGAGAGTCTTGGGTGACCATTGGCCTGGTGACTGGGATAGAGCCACCATGTGGCTTGTCACTCTGACTTAGAGCTTCTCCTGCACTGAACAGACTTGTTGCCCCTCGAGAGTCGGGCTGGCTGGGTTCAGGCAAGACCAGCAGCTGCCCAGCTGCTGCTGAAACTCAAAGTGATACTGTGCATGTGGCACTGAGAAGCGATCTTGAGACCACTCAGTCCGTCCCTCTGAGCAGCAGGGTGTCATACCATCGGGCTCAAAGCCCTGATGGGGGCTAGCCAGAGGCCGGGCCAGGCGGGAGCTCCCGGCTTCCAGCGCAGACCTCCTACCTGCAGTCACTGCTCATTGCCTCTCTTCTTTGTAACTTCCTGGTCCCTGCCACAGAATCACCCCCTTCTGGCTCTGCTCCTTCCATTTTCTGCCCTGCCCATCATTGTTTAGGAACAATGAGGCTTTGGGCCATTATATCCAGGGGTAACCTGCAAAGGGAAGGAGCAGTGTCAGGACAATGTCAGGCTGGGACTCTGGGGCCAGGAAGCTGGGAGGCCCAGCATAAGCCAAGGTCTTTCTCCTGCCACATAAGGTGCAGACTGGAGGCACTTTGTTTGCTGCAGGATTTCCGTACTTTTTCCATTGGTTTGTGTCTGAGGATAAACAGGCCACCACAGAAGAGAAGACAGCATGTGGGTGCTAGGGCTCACACACACACACACACACACACACACACACACGCACGCACGCACGCACGCACGCACACACAGCCCACCTGGCGCTCCGGCTTTGCAGGTGGAGCCTGCCTGCCCTGAATGGGCTCCTAAAGACGGCGTGCGTTCCTGCGGCAAGGCCAGGCCAGGCCAGGTGTGAGGTCTCCCCACCGCCCTCCTGGGACAGCCGCACCTGAGCGACCCCCTCACAGCTGTTTCCCTGGCCTTGCCTCGGGCATGCTGCCACCCGTGGGTTTCCTGTTTCCCCATCAGGCTGGAGGGAGCGCTTCATCCCCCCCTCAGACCCGGGACTCCTGAGGGCAGGATCTGGGCCTCCTTCCATTCAGGTCCCATGTGTGGCTCTAACTCTGCCCGGCAGAGTCTGACTTGGACTTATTTTTGAGTGCGGAGGGAGGCTCCCAAGGCGTCAGCACAAGGCGGGTGTTCAGGTGACTTGGAATGTGCTGGACTGAGCCAGCCTGGCTCCAGGCGAGGGGAGGCTCCCTCAGAGCAGCTCCAGGCAGGCTTCCACCTCCACCCTCCTTGAGCCCAGAGGAGCCCATCGGCCTCAGGGAAACTTCCACAGCTCCCAAGCTTCCTGTTTCCTGAGCCGGAGGAATGATGGAGCTGCAGCAGCAAGGGAGAGGCTAGGCTGGATGAAGATCTTCCTGGCAGCCAGGGTGGTTAGACACATGCAGGGCACCCGAGGGAGGTGGCAGAGGCTTCTCCAGACAACCTCAGAAGCAGGAGACACTTCTCATTGCTCTGGGGAGTTCATAAAACCTAAGCGGCTTACCCTAAATAGCAGTGAACTTCACTCTGGGCATGTGAGTGTGTTGCTTGTAACATGCATTTTTTAATCAAAAGGAGTCCACGCCTCTGTTTTCCTGTTTAGACACCCAAGCTGAGGACAGCCTCTACCCTCCTAGGGTATAACGTCACCCAAACAACCCCTGAGGTAGAGATGGCACTAAACAGATCAGGATGCCCAGGTGCCAGTCCTGCTCTGCCCCAAGTCAACCGTGTGACCAGCACTAATGCTCACTGGGTCTCTAGCTTACCACCCAGGTCTCTTCCAGTTGTAACAGGTTCTGACTAAGTGATAACTTTGAGCCTCATTTGTCCCATCTGGAAAATGGGGATAATTCCCCCAGCACGTTTTATAGAGCTGTGATGAACGAAAGCAAAACTTTCTTGGAAAGGAGTTTATGTCTGGCACCTCTCCTGTGCCAGCAGAAACCCAGTGCGGGTCTAAACTTTGCAGGTGGCAAGTACCTGTCTTTTCAGGGAAACAGGCATGGTTAAAGTTGGGCAGCATTTACACTGAGCGTGCACTGGGTCAAGGCTACATTAGCTGGGGCCACCTCTTAGGCAGGCACCCTTGGAAAAGGGCTGTCTTCTCCCAGGACTGTGCAAACATGTGCCCCATGATGTGTGCCCCATGTTTTAGCATGTGCAGTGGGCCAAGCATGGGAAGGGGGGAGCCTGGCGGGAACAGGGCTCTCTTGACCCTCTGCCCACCCCCCAGCTCCCGGTGCCCATGGCTGTGCTGTATCTGCTGTCCAAAGAGCGGCTGCTGACCTGCTGCCCTCAGAGGAGGCCACTGCTCCTGTCTGCAGATGAGCTTGCCCTGGAGACACAGCCTCCTGAGAAGGAAGACGCTTCCTCGCTGCCCCCAAAGATTCAGTCACACCCAGGTGGGGGCTCTAATGAACTTTCATGCTCACAGCCAGCCACCTAGGTTTCTCTGATAACCCCTCCTCCAGAGTGTGACTGTAGGTCACAGGTGATAATGGTTGGGAAAAAATTGGCACCAATGGTCTCGTGAGGCAGGAGATGGAGCAACCTGGCCAAGGGAATGAGGAAGGCAGACTTCTGGCTCCAACCTTTTTTCTGCCTAACCTTGCTGTGTGACCTTAGACAAGTTATTTGCCCTCTCTGAGCCTTGCTGCCACAGGACTGTGAGATGGACAGGGGCTGTTCCTAACAGATGGTTGGTTGAAGCTAGAGAAGGCAGGAGGCAGTAGGTGGTCCACCATTCTGCCAACCACTTCCCCTGGGCACGCAGAGGGAGGGGGACAGAGGCTAAGACTCACCCCTGGTCTTCTTGTGTCTCATCCAGCGCACGAGGACCTGTTCAGCTGCTGCCAGAGGACCAACTTCAAAGGAGTCCCTTATTCCTTTTTTGCCATCCACATCACAGCTGCGCTGGTCCTGTTCATGGCCGATGGGATGATGGTAAGCCTGCCCTCAGGGTGCACCTTCTTGGGGGACCCTCCACCCCAAGACTCAAATCTGGAGATGGCAAGAGAAAGAGAGGCATCAAGGTTTCCTAGAAACCTCACCTGTATTTCAGTCAACCCAAAACTTTAAATAAAGTTCTGGGGGTAACTGTTTCCAGCATTGCTCGCAGCCCCTTGGTCTTCTGTCCTGGCCAATTGTTTATTTCTGTAGATAGGGGCGTATAGGTTTCTTACTAAGTGCAGGCTACCCCAAATTTTTTTTAAAGGGGCAGGGCCTTGTACTGCCAAGTAGAGGTCATGCCAAATAAACTCTAGGGCACTTCGCTTCCTGGAATACATTCCACACCTGGGCTCCTTAGGCCATATCGTAAAAACAAGCCACATTCAGTCCACTAGTGACCTCTGTCACACTATCTAATGCCTTTTCCTAGAAATCTTTAAGGATTAGATTAGGACGGTTCTGAGCAGCTGATTAACTGGTTGCCATATGAGGGGCTGCCCAAAGAGAAAGCCCCACACCCCTAGGTAACCTGGTGGAAGGTGCTCGTGACAGTGCTAGTTGACTTCCAACTCTCAGTGTGACCTCGAGAGGTCACTCTCTGCCCTCTCATCTGTAAAATGAGATGCTTGTGCACGCTTTTTTTTTTTTTTTTTT